AGGAAGAAGAAGAAGAAGAAGAAAAAGAAGAAGAAAAAGGAGGAGGAGGAGGAGGAGGAGGAGGGGGAGGAAGAGAAGGAGCAACTGCACCTGCTCGAATTAAATTGGCCCAACGTGTATAGGAACCAGTCCCAACGAACCTCAATGCTGATGCGCTAACAAGACAACCCAAAGCGATGATTGAAATATTTTTTCACGCCGCTTAATCTAAAACAAGTACCGAGCGTCTGCTTCAACCCCTAAACGCCGGTCAACTCTCCAGATACGATTAGCTTTCAGGAGACGAAACCCGCCATATGATGGACATACGAAGTCTACTCGAGGCCATTGGGCGTATCGCCTCCGGTGTGATAATCGGTGACGCAAAACACGTACATTTGACATGCTGTTTTTTACGTCTGCGGTTAATAAAGTAATTTAAAAAGTCAGCGTTTGCAGCTCCTGCAGCTGCAGCGCTCGGAACTGTAAGCCATACTACACACGCAAACCTCCTTTCGTCGCTTCGCAAAATTTTCAAATTAAACAAACCGATGTCATTGGTTCCGGTTCGCACACTGCTGTGGCCGAAATCTGCGCACATGCGAACCCCATGTTCAAGCCAACTTTCGGCACGAGAATTTATTCGCCCTCTGCAAGGAACACCGGTAAAGCAGTTGTGAATTGGGCGTGTGCGGTGAGGGGGCCGCTTGATGGCCGTCGACTCCACCTTCACTGGCCACACCCACCCTGCTCCAATTGCAGGACAAATTGAGAGGAAATCGGAGCTGGGCATGAGGGTATTGGCTAACGCGGCCCAAAGCACTAATTTGCGCACCGTACAGATGCGCCGGTCACTTAACCTCTACTAATCAATACTTACTCGTTCAGAGATCACGATGGTGAGGGCGGGAACGGTGGCTCGCTTGATAATTAGTTTATATTGATAATAGACATGCGCTGCATCTGCCGCATTCTCACCTCATCCCCCGCCTCTCTCTGGGCCCGGTGTCGAAATAGAGTCAATAAAACCGGCGACCAGAGAGGCCGCTGGGGACTGACACGGCGAAAACCCAC